GTTAGCATCCTGCAATCACTGTGAATTGAGTCCCTGCTACTTGCCCATGGTCCTACAGGACCTCACAAGTTCTCCAGTCACTCCGGGAATGTCTCATACTGCTGGTTTCAGTGTCACTCAGGTGTTTTCATCAGTCCCAAACCTGCCCTGTTAGCAACAGGTGGAAATGGGCTATCTGTCCTCCCCTGAGTCCCACTTCTGCTCCCTGGGGTGTAAGGTCTGTCACGGTGAATGAGGCCTGCCACACATCCAGGCTGGCTGAATAAAATGAGTAGCTGACCTGCAGCCAGAGGAAAGCAAATGGGTTAAATGAGCAGGGTCATCAATCTGGATTAGAAGTCAGACAGGGAAGATGGCACTGTGCAGAACAGAAATCAATATGTCTAGATAGCTCTGGAGCATCCAGCTATTCCTCTGTACTCCCACATGTACCAGTTACCTTCTCCTCTCCATCCCACCTATGTCCTCACCTAGACCTCCTCAAACAGTCACAGAGACTCCATTTCCATCCTAGCCTCCCAAACCCTTTATCATTTATGTGGACGCCCACCTAATCAGAGCAATCAAAACACTCCTATTCCCGCTCCAGCAGAGTCCCAGCCTCATCTCCAGTCTTGTGGGATGTCAGCTTTCCCTAAACGAGAGATGCCTTCTTCTCTAAGAAGACTACACTGGACTACAGGATCATCAGTGGTCCTCTGCCCAAAGCTAGCCAGCTGCCCAGGCCAAGCATGTTTCCACCATCTCATGAGCTCTAGCTTAGGATGTGAGCAAAGACAGACCAGAAGGCAGCTGAAGTCGAAGACACCAAGACAGTGAGAATCACCAGCACCAGTTCAGATGCCATCATATAGATGAGCAAGCTGACTGTGAGCAGTTTGAATTCAGAAAAATAAATTGCCACCAAGAGATTAGCTACTTAGCTGGGAGCTCTCTCTGCCCACTTCAGAAATGCCCTGGTCCTTCAGGCAGCTTTGACAGGAGGGAAGAAAGGAGCTTAGATGGAAAACACCACTTCCATCTTTCCCTTCCTCCTCCCTGAGATGATCAAAGTCCCATATGGCTCCTCTCCTGAGCTGGTACACAAGCATGTCCCAGGTTCTCTGGCAGCCAGAGTCCCTACGCATCAATGTCAGGCTGAGACTGGCCAGATGCTGATGGAGGAGGAGCAGGAAGGGGTGATACCATCCCATAACACCCATGACACTGAACATGTGCTGTATCAGGGAAAGGGACAGGGTTTATGTGTTGGGGAAGGAAGATGCTGCCCACCAGCAAATTTGCCCCATAAAGCAACAGACAACATAAATTAAGTCCCCCAAACCCCTCTTCTGCTACAACAGTTGGAGCTTTGAGGGAACAGGCTGGTAAGGTACATGGGAAGGCATGTTGACGTTTCAGCCTGCAACCCATGAAAGCTCCAGCAGCAACTGTCAGAGGACAGATTCTAGTTCACCTGTGCACCAGGCCTTGCAGTTCAGGGTTTGGGCAACAAACTCCAGACTGGTGGTTTTCTAGTCCCGGGAATACCTGACTGTCCTAGAGAGGGCAATGTAACTGCAAGACAGGGAGGCATGCTGAGACTTTACTGACTTTTCAGTTGGCTAAGACGAGGCCAGGACCTTTTCCCCATGGCTGGAGGGCAAACCCGTCCAGGACACAGACCAGGAAAAGAGCTGAGCTCATGCTAATGGAGGCAAAGTCTCTCTGGAGAGGCCAATGGACAGTGGAGTGCCACCAACACTTGTAACACTGCTCCAGAGCCATAGGGTGGCACCACCCCACCATCCAACCCCTTGGGGAAGGAGGTGGCTGGGGAAGTACCAGGGCAAAGCCCAAAAGCCTTGGGTCAGCATGGCCTTCTGCTGGAAGCCCTTGTGAAGGGAAGGATGTGGGGACCCAAGGGCTCTGCCTGTTCCTGCCACGCAGACCTGCCAGGGCTCCTCACTCCTGACTGCTGAGGCCCTTCCCAAGCCTTTCCACTCGGAAGGTGCTGGACTCACACCAACACATACCCACTCCTCTCCATCTCTGCCCTGATCTACGCTGGGCCCAGCTATTTTCATCCTACAGTTGATGGGAGATCACTGCTGCACTGAGCCAGGCCCAGGCTTACCTGCAGGACAGCAGAGGGGCCGTAACTCCCCTCTGCTCCTGTTAACGTTGCCGGGTGTGCTCCAGGGCATCTGTCAGAGGTGGGTCTGCTCAGAGCACCCCTCAACCCACGTTCAGCGTGGGACAAGGGCTACAAACCAAAGCTGAGACCTGACAAGCTTGGAACAGATGTGACCTCAGGCAGAGCAGGTTAGGTGCTGGAGGTGAAGGTGAGAGCACAACATCTCGGACCTCATTTCTTTCTCTGCATACCACCATGGCGACACCAGATGCCCTGCAGGATGTGACCCTAGATAACATGGGAGGTCTTGCAGCCCTTCTGCCTTCTGCCCAGGCTCTGTGCTGGAGCCACAGTGGCTGAGTGTGGTGTGATTTGTAACCTTCCCCTAAGCACTCCTCCATGCCTGCCCTTCCCAGAGCTCCCCATTCCTGTGTCCCAAAGCCAATACACCCAGCCACCTCCTTGGCTTGGCCCCAGTGGCCCGTTCCCCTTCAGACCATTCCACAGAGACCAGCATCAGCCAAAGGCAGAGAGACAACCATGGGAGGAATCAAAGCCTGGGGTGCAGCAGGAGCCATGCCTCACTTTCCAGGAAACCCACAGCAGCCTCTCCACTAGACCAGACCTTCGCAAGCCCCCGGAACGTAACCCCAGTCACCCCTGGGGGAGCTGGATGCCCGTTTTCCCTGGGGAAGGAGTTGTGCCCTGCCCCAGGGATGCATTCCCCAGGCTGAGAGCCGCAGACAGATGCTAGCTGGAGCCTGCCCAAAACCAACGAGCTTTCCAAGTCCTTTCCCTTTCTTGGGGGTCTGGTAGTCGCGTAAACAGGAAAAGCCTGGCCCTCTCCCCCCTCTTCCACAGCTCTGCCTCCCTCCCCTCCTCTCCGGCGCGCGCGCGCCAGCGTGATATGAGCCCCAGCATTGGGCTGCTTGGCCCCCACGGGAGGAGCTGCCGGCTGGCCCCTGACCTCCAGGCTCCGTGTTTCCTGTGGCAGCCGAGGAGGGAGACGAGGCCCCTTCTTCCAGACGCTGGGGCCGGGTGTAAAGGGGCCCCTGTGGGCCAGCCCGGGGCAGGGAGGAAAGGTCGTGGTGGTCCTTTGCCGGCAACGCGAGGTCCAAGGTGGCAAAGATGCCAGCTGCCCCTGGGAGAGGTGGGACATGGAGCCTCCAGCTGAAACGACAAGGCGAGGGCGGCTCTCCCGCCCCGGCCCTGCAGCCAGCTCTGCAAACCCTTCTTTATCTCCTGGCGCTTATTTTTAAAAGCTTTGTGGCCTTCCCTCCTAAAACCAAAGGCGGCCACACCAGGTCGGGGTGGCTGCCCAGGAGGGACCAGAGCTGGTGGCTGCAGAAGGCTGCAGCTCCTCCTCCAGCTCACACAGTCGCCCTTGCAGAGCCCAGCGCTGTTAACCCTTGGCCAGCTAAGGCCAGCTGCAGGAATAGGTGCCCATTTTAAGATTAAAAAGCTGGGGTTACTGTCTAGGAGGGTGTTACCCCTTTCCCCCAGGTCCCTCTAGGGAGGACTAAGCTAAGACAGGGCATCCTCTGCCCCTCTGCATGTCTCCCGTGGGTCATCGTGAGGAGTAGGACTGAGATCTTGGGAGGGGTGCAGGGAGAAGAACTGAGCCTTGCTGAAGGCGTTCGGCTTGAGAGGCAGATCCCCATCCCCAGGGTCGCAGTCCATGTTTGGGCTCTGCGCCAGCCCCAGCTTGTAAAAGCCCAGGACGCTGGCCAGATGTGATGCCCGTTCTTCACAGCCTGGCAAGAGATGCCGGATGCCTGGGGAGAGCGGGGAGGGGGGATGGCATCCCGGATGGAAACCTCTGGCATGCCTCTGCGCTGATCTCCACTCTGCCCTGGAATGCGCCCGCCAGCAGCATGTGGGAAAGTAGAGTCAGCAGAGACCTTGGATGTGTCAGCTCCCCGGCTGAGTAAACAAGAGGAGCCCTGGCAAGCGTTCAGCCCCAAGCATCTGAGACCTTGAAAAAAGGGGGCTGGAGACGGGGAGGTTCTTATGTCCCCTCTTTGCTCAACCCCTGCAAAATATCTCCTAATCTCTCCCCTACCTCAAGTGCTAATGCCACCTCCTCTCACCCCTACCACGTCTGGACAAGTGTGGGGAGAGACTATCCCTGAGGCATTTCCAGCACCCGGCTGTCAGATCTAACATCCCAGGAGGAAAAGCCCCCTGGGAGAGACACTCCAGAAAAGGAGGGTCTGGAGAAGAAAGAGGTGGGATAAAAGGATTTATCACTTTCTGCCTCCCCCACCACCACGCACACCCATCCATGCCCCTTGGCTGTCACCCAGGCAGCAGGGAGCACAGAACATGGAGAGAGCTTCCACCAGCAGTGCTGGCACAGGACAGAGACACACGCTATGGCTCCCAAATAAATACCTCCCCAGCAGCAGCTGGGGACATTCCCACCGGGCATGTCAGCTCCAGCCACCCTCCCTGCAGGTTTCACAGGCTGAAGGAGAGGCTGCAAAACAACAGGTTTCCCCAGTGCTGGTTGGAGACATGGTCCCACTGCTCTTCAGGTTGCCGACACTGCGTCCCTCATCTCCTCCATAAAGCGCACCCACGTGAGACAGCCCCTCATCCCTTCTCTGCCTGGGCACAGGAGCCTGGTTTGGGGTCTGGGGAAGAAGGATGGGCTGGAGAAGGACCGCCGGCATCCTACCGGCAGACCCCATCATCTCCTGGGGGGCGAGCTCCCGCGGCGGCGGCACTGGGAGGCTGTGCCCGCCTTCTGGCCACCGTCCCGCGTCCCCTATCGCTCCTCGGCAGGCGCGGACTCCCAGAGAATGAGCCATTGTTCCCCGGCCCCGCGGCCTCTTCCTGTCCCCGTAGGGCTTCGAGACAAACAAAAGCAGAGCCAGACGCCATGGGGAGGAGGCTGGGCCTGCTCCCCTCCTCCAGATCCCGCAGCAACCCCGCAGGCAGGCAGACAGACGGATGCCCGCCTTGGGGGAATGGGCAGGGACACCCCTATTTTTAGCTGCCTCTGCATCCCCACCCCCTTCCTTCCGTGGGCCAAAAATACATGGGCTGGATGGACAGGCAAAATCATTACGGTAAAAGAGTTGTCCAGGCCTTGTGTCCAACCATTCCCCTGGCTTTCACCTCTTCCCTTTGACCAGGACAGGTTCCTCACGCATGGTCTCCCTTTATCCCCATGGATGACTTATCTCCTCACCCCCATCCCTCGTTTCCTATATCCCCACATCTGTCCACACATCATACACTTCCTCATCCCCACATCCCGATCCACGTCTGCTCCATGGATGCATCCCCCATCCCTTGATGCTCCCCTCTCCCATGCCATGCCAACCCTGGGGACCTACTCCCTTCTTTTGAGACCCTCCAGCTCCTCCTTTCCCCACCTCCTCACGCAATTCATCTTCAAAAGGTTCTTTGCCCCCAGACTCCCCCAGTTTCCTGATCCTCACCCCCATCCTCCCTGCACCCTCCCTCCTTGCTGCATCCCTCCTACCCTCACCATCTCCCCCTTTCTCTCCTCACCCCAGCAACTTCCATCCCAGCTCCCTCCAGCCTGCACGGGCTTTAAACTCCTGCAGATGTGTTCCCCCTCCTTATCCTGCTGAGGGAATGTATTTAGGGGAGGGCAAACAGACCCCCAGATGCCCCTGCACACAGAGAGCTGCTTCTCCAAGCAGCAAGTTGATACCTGAGCTGCCACGGTCCCTCCTTCACCTCTATGAAAAGTCTACAAAAAGGAACGAGAGAATCAAGTGGTGTTTGGGGGGGTTTTCTGGGGAGACGTAATGCACATACATATATATATATATATTTACATCTCCTTTTCCAGTGCCCGGAATCACAGAGGTGTTTCCAGCCCACAGGCAGCTGTTCCTGGATTGCTTCTGGTTTATGCAACATCCTCTCTTCCCTCCCAGTCATGTCCCCAGCCCCCCTTTCCCTCTCCTCTGCGCCCGGGGCAATGTCAGAGGGAGAGCACAGATTGGGATCTGTCCCAGGGTCTGTTCCTTCATCATCCCTCCCACAACACCCCCCAACATGCCTACAACACCCCACATCCCCAGCCCTCAACCAGGATGAGCATATGAGGAGGAAGCCGGGGAGGGTGGGAGGAGGAAGAAGGATGAAAACATTTGGGATAGGAGGAGATGGGCAGAGGGAGGGAGGCAGCCCGCCAGCAAGCCTGGGAACTCATCCCTACCTCCTCCTGGGCTTTGGCAAACCCTGAGGCTTTGAGTTCCCAGCCCAGCTCCTGGGGGAAAAGCTCCCCCCCCTTCCTCCTTTGCAAACCCCACAAGCGGGACATGGTCAATCCCATTCCTTCGGCCTCCCACTGATCCAGGAAGGGGAGCTGGAGGAATCGGTGGGGAAAATTAGAAATGTGCTTTTTACAGAGGTCAACCCACCCTCTTCTAGTATGAGTGGGTCTAACCCAATGCTGCTGCCTGCCCGGCCGGTGCTCGCTGCAACCCACCCGTTTTCCTTCCCTGGTGCAGCACAATGATCCCAGGAACTGCACTGGTCTCTCAGCTCTCTCCCTGGTTATCACAGCGGCACAGAGTGCGGGACCCGCAGCATAGCCCCCAAAACGGGCTGAGTGTGGCCCAGCACATCCCTGCAGGCGCTGGCGGTAGAGAAACCATCCCAGTGAAGAAATTATGGGGCATGAGGGATCCGGTGCCTACAAAGCCAGCACCGGCATCCGACCAGGGATGCTCTGGGCAAATGCTGGGTGCCTCACACCTACCCCTCACCCTGGGGTGTTACCTCCTGCCACCACCCCAGCTTGCTCATCCTAAAACCGGCTCTGCCTCCAGCTCAGCCCCAGGGCAGTGAGATGCAGGCTGGAGGCAGCACTGAGGGCCACAGGCTGGGAGCCAGGACAAAAGACCCAGAGGCAGCAGGGTGATGGGGAGCTGGATGACGCAACGCTGGGATGAGTGGTGGGGCAGGGGGCCCTATGGACCCCCCTCCCTGTCATGGCAGGGGTCTGTCCCACACTCCACTGCCGGCAGTGATTCCCATACCCGTGTGGTATGTGCCCTTGTGGCCGCCGCGAGGAGAATGGAAACATCTGGAAGTCACCCGCAAATGAGCAGCGCTCCCAGTTAATGAGGAAATATGAGCCAGAGACCCTGGGCAGCAACAGGATATTTGCTTCTTGTGCGCCGAGCGAGGCAACCCCTTCCCACTGAGCCCCCCGCCTGCCCTCCTTCCCCAGGAAATTTCCAGGGATGGGGCTCTGGGAGCACTGCCCCATTCCTGGAAATTTCCTGGGGCAGGAGGGTGGGCGGGAAGGCAGTGAACAGAAACGGCAAGGAATAGAAACCCAGGGGTGACCACCACATCCCCAAACAGGGGTGCCCCCATCGCCCTCCCTCAGGTCCCCACAGGTGTCAGGGAAAGGGAGAGGTGGGTTTTTCTTCTCTGGAGGAGCGGCCTGCATCAGTCTCCTTCAGGCATCAGGGTCTGTGAGCAGCAGGAGCTGCAAAGCAAGGTGGGAGGAAGGACCAAGTACCTGGAGGTGTAGGGCTTCAGCTCCCTGCCCCCCCCCCCCCCCTCCATCCCTGTTGCATTCAGCTACCCATAAGACCTCGGCCCCATGCCAGAGGGATGAGCACTGCAAAGAAGTGGGGGACAATTTACACAGCCCCGTCTTTGATGTTATAGGAATCAAAGCAAATCCTCAGCCAGGAAGGCTGCGGGGCCACTTGTCTGCTCCCATGATAAGCCCAATGGCCGGTCTCTCTGTAATGGTGAGACTGGTACCACCGCCTGGGGCACAGGGTTACAGATGGGATGAAAGGTTGGGGTGACTGAAGGTAAATGAGGTAGCCAGGCGTCTGTGGTGATGGGGCTGGGAGGGGTCCAGGTATTAGCTCCTGCCCAGAGCACCCATGGGTGGTACAGTGGCTCTGCAGCACCGTCCAGCCCCACAGCCACCTCTCATTTATCAGCTGAGGTGGATAAACAGGCTGGGAGGCAGGATTGTATGGATTTGCTTTCCAGGCAGCTGTATGTGAAAGAAGAGGGTCTCAGGAGGGTGCAACCCCTGCTAGGGAACAGTCGGAGGAGCAGCACCACCTCTGCTCGTACCCAGGCAGCCAGAGGCTGAGTCCGGGAGCTGGCACATACACTGGAGGTCTCCAAAGAACTTCAGAGCCAGCCCCAGAAAGACAAAAGTCACAGCCCAGCTGGCATAGCCACAAGACCACAAAGTCTGCGGAGGGATGCTGAAGAAGGGGGGATTTCCAATGGCTTTTCTGGAAACGGAACCCATCCTGGCCCAGAGCACAGAGATGCTTGGAGCAGGGATGAGGAGGAGGAGGAGGAGGAGGTGGTGGAGAGGCAGCCGCCCCACGAGGAGCGGAGCGTGGCCCCTGTCCCATCTGGAAGAGATTTGTTCTGCATTCCCTGGTGGAGGCGGTTGCCGTCGCCCGGGCTCCCCTCCCCGCTGCAGCCCCTGCTGCAGGGCACAGGGATGGGGGTGAGGGGAGTGAGTGGGAGCCCTGGGCTGGGGGGTGGGGGTGGGGAGACGCCCTGTCAGGCCATGCAGAGGGAGGAGACCCAAAGAAAGGGTATTTTCCTTCCTCTCCCACAACCCCATTGGCTTCCTCTGAGCAGGACATGGGGGAAGAGGTGCCTACCATACCTCTGGCAAGCAGGGAGGATGCAAGTCACGATTTCTTCTCCTTTCCTCACTAGTGGCACAGCTCACCCCACCTCAGACCTGAGCTCCTGTCTTCCTCCAAGACACAGAGTCACTTAGAAGTACCACCAAAATGCACAGTCCATGTGCTCTTGATCCTTAATGGAGAAGACCTCCACAGAAGGCAGAAAACCCAACTATCCCATTTCACAGAGGAGAAGCCTGAGGCCGAGGGTGCCAAAATCCTACTGCTGCTTAGCAAACCTCTGAGCAATAAGGTGCTCCTTCTCAGGCAACCCAGCATGGGCCACCTGAGCCTAGTGAGAGCCAGGCTCCATTTTGACATCTCCTCTGCAGACATCTTGTCATCCCTTCAGCCAGGCCCTGCTTAACCCCAACAAGTCTCATCTCGCCTTCACCAGCAGAGACACCTCCCTTCTCCTCCACAGGGCCCTGAATAGGTGCTCACGCCTGGCCAAGTGCTCCCCAGCAGAGCCACCAAGTCTCACCTGGAGGTCATGAGAGTCACTGATGGCACTGGCGATGCAGTATCCACCAGCAGGTTGCCCCTCATCGGCACTGATAGGGTCTTCTGCCCTGTGACCATCAAGGGACAAAGCAACGAAGCGCGATACTAGAGGGATGCGGTGTCCCATATGTGGGCAGAAACCCTCCTCGGTGCCACAAAGGAGCACCTCCTTGAGCTTACCCAGTGCCATCCCCTCACCCTGGTCTGATGCTGTGCCGCTGATATGACGCTTGTCCTGACCCTATAATTCTTGTCCTGACCCCGTAACACCCATGGGGCCCATGCAGCCTTCGAGGAGGCTGTTACCCTGCTAACCCTCAGCCCAATGTTACCCATAGGTCCCGCATGACCGCCCACCCCCAGACCCCATTCCTGGTTGGCACTACTACATCACGGGCACTGGGGACTTCCATTCCAACGCGGGATGGGATGACTCTGTGTGATACGTGAGGGGGTCGCACACAGGGGGCAAACTCCTTTCCTTCGCCCCCTGGCCCGGCTTCCCTAACCAGGTTAGCCGGTGACCTGGGCTTCCCCCTTCCCCCAAATTCATTGAAGCAGGCGCCTGGGAGTAGGAGGCAGCCGATGCTGGAGGACGGGAAATGGCACTGGGGAAGCGGGGAGGAAGGCGGGGGGGGGGAAACAGCAAAGAAGTTCCTGAAGTTTTCTGTCCTGGATAGTTGGAATAAATCTCATTTTCTCTGGTCTCCTTGCCGAGGCGAGGATTGGCTCGGCGGGGCTCCAGCCCGCCCTCCTCCTTCCCACGTCCCCTCCCCGCCAGCTTCGCTCCCTCTCTCTCCCCGTGGCATCGGGGCGTCAGCCTGGGAGAGCGAGCCTTGGGGGGACAGCCGTGGGAAAAGGGGGCAGGGGGGGCATACCCTTCCCTTTTCTCCCTTCCCTGCTGCAGGACGCAGAGCTGGTAACCCTCGGAGCAAGTTACGGGGGCCCACGGGGAGCGTCTCCCAACTTTTCGACTGAAGGACGGGAAAAAAAAATAATATCCCTGGTTCGGAAGAGGTAAATCCTGAAAGTTTTGATTCCTCTGTGTGGAGAGCTGGGGAGGGAGAGGGGGTGGGTCGGGAGCAGAAGGAAAAGGGTGGAGAGGGTGGTAGGAGAGGGGAGAAGCGGGAGGGGTGGCAAGGCGATGGAGACAAGGAGGATGGTGAAAAAGAAAGGGAGA